GTAAACTAGAATAAATTCAAAGAACAGCATGTCTCAACATAACAGGAGCCATGAAAACAACACCGACCAGAGCCATGGAAGTAATTCTTAGTCTCACTCCCCTTGATATTTACATCAAGGAGGTTGCTCTGACAACAATGACACGCCTCCGCACGGTTAGAATAGAACCTGATGTAGGATCTGGTGAGGCGAGACGTAGCGTTTGGCAGGAAGCCCTTGATACGCTCCCACTGCTTTAAGCCAACATGGACTCCACCTCACCGAGATATATCTTCCATAGCCATATAAAGTTGTAACAGAACAAATAGAAGAGCCGGAAGTGGCAAGTATGATTCATATCTACACCGACAGTTCTAAAACAAAACAAGGCTCATAATGTGGAATGTACTTCAGATCCTTAAGCCCTAACATAAAATGGGCTGTGAGCAATGGTGCCAGTGTAGTTCAAACAGAACTCACGGGGATTCTCATAGCAGCAAAAGAAATCACCAGAAACAATATCACTGAAAGGAACATACTTATCTATACAGATAGCACGAAAGGTAACCGTCTTGCTGATTCACTGGCCAATAAAGCAGCCAACTAAAAACTTTTTGGACCTGGCCCTTCTATTCCCTTGTAAAATTTAAGAATATATGGGAAGAAACAAGAAAGTGCAAAGTTGCCAGGGAGCTTTTAAGTTATCCTGACCACACTGCAGCAAACAACTACTTGACTATGACTAGACAGAATCTGCGCCTAGTCACAGGCATTCTGACTGGTTATTGCCAAGTACGGAAGTATCTCCATATCATGGTGCTGTCAGAATCTGCACTCTGCAGAGGGTGTGAACAAGAAGATGAGACCATCGAGCATATCCTCTACGATTGCTCGACGTTCTCATTTATTAGGAGATTTTTGTTTGGCGAGTATCGGCTAACATTTAATCTGTAGGCTGCTCACGAGCTAGGAGGTGCCTATCATCTTAGGGGATGCACAATGGGCCTAGTAAGGCCTAAGTGCCGTGGTGGTAAACCACCCTCCACACGTTACATATTCAGAGAGATGTGGGAGAGAAAACAAATGTTCTCCTTACCGATATATTTTATTTTGCATATATCCTACTCCTATTGGGGGTGGGGCAAAACTGCCCATTCTTCAATTTATGAATTTAAACTCTTATACGTTTTGTCAAATAATAACTATCTTAAATTTTGATCTATAATATTTCTAAAATATTTTATGGAATTAGTTTTTTTAAAACATTGACAATTTCAATATTAATGTCTTTATTGCAATGATGTTTATGTTTTTTTACTGTTAGGTTTCATGGTTTGGTCTACGATAGTTGAGGAAAAAGCGATGTATTTAGTTTTCTTTATAATGAGAGACAGTCTATTATGATTTATTCAATTGCTATATTTATTAGATTCCGCGATACTGAAAGTATTTTCTCACGTTGAGCCATTGAATATTAAATCTATATCATCAGCATAACATATAATACGTTCATTAAAATGATTTATTTTACTGTTAATATATATTAAGATCAATATTGGTCCCAATACTCTTCCTTGATCGTAGATTTTGAACTAGTATAAATCCCTATTTCCCTTTAATTAATTTTTAATTTCATCTAAAACCATTCGTCTAATGCGATAGTTTAATGTTTCTAGTAATATATCGTGATCAACGGTGTCGAAGGCATTGGCAAAATCCAAAAAAAACTGCAAGGCAATTTGATGATTCGTCCAAGGCCCTCACTGTTGTGTTTACAAATTTCATTATGGAATTTTCACCATGAGAGTTTTTGACGAATCCATATTGTCCGTCAATTATTGCCCGATGTCTATACTAATCGTTTTTTAAACAATGCTCAAATGTTTTGCAAAGTTATTGATTAATGAACTTTAGCTGTCAACTTTAGTTTTATTTCCGGACTTGCAATTAAATATTTGACAATTTCCATTGTTCTGGAATTTTACCTAATGTAAAACTATGGTTAATAATGTATACTAGAGGTTCCAAGATAAAATTGTGAATCGTTTTTATTGTTTTTCAATTTATATTATCAGAACCTTGTGCACAATTGTTTTTAAGGTTCAAGATTATTTCTATTAGTAACAAGTTCTAGAAATATTGATAGTTGTACTGTTATATCGGATAAGAATTTTATCTTTAGAACAAAAAAGTTGTGAAATTCATTGGCTTTTCTTATAATTTTTTTTAGGGTTTTACCATTTCCTGAAGTATTGTCAATATTTTCAGTTTTATTTTTAACGCTTTTTCCACAAACAAAGTTGGTCCTTTTTTGAATTGGAAACTGGTAGGACACAGCCATACTGTGGTTTAAGTTGAACATCATCACATATTGTGCACAAATATTGACTATGACATAGGTACTAAGTTTATGTCTTGATTGTTGCCTAACTGGTAAACCGTTTCAAGTGGACGTACAATTTTGGGAACCATTTTTACCTCGAATGTCATATATAATATATCCATTTTTGACAAAAATAGATACAACAATATTTTTCTTCTAAGCTATCGATATGAGGAAACTTCTGCCATGTAAAATTTGACATCTCAATACATGCTACTTGTTTGCGTAAAAAGTAAATAAATAAAAATAATCAATATTATGGTCACCGGCGATATACCTATTTTATTCAGTAAATGAATATTTTTAATTATAATTTTTATTGTGTCTCAATTTGTGTTTCACATTTGCATGTAAGACGTAAGACGTGCTACAAATGTACAACTATAACGTAATAGTTAATCGAATAAATATATCTATCTATCATCTGTAACAGGTAGGTATTCGTGACAAAAAAAAATCCATAATAAGCGCATTCATTGTATTACCCTTCAACAGTTTTACCCACAGATTAGTGTGCATCTTTGTTTCCGATTAATCCTTAAATTTTCCGCGACATGTGACAAATAACAATCCACTCGAAAAAGCCATTGTAATTTTCAAACAAGAAAAACAAATCACATGAAACTGTTGACTGTTGAGAGAGTGCAGAAGGACGTCGCTCAGGCCACGTGTCATTCAAAAGACGAACTTGTAGAGCACGTGCTGCTCGAGATGAGATCATATCTGATGAGCCATTGTTAATGGACGAGATCCGGACCGGAATTGGATGATGGCTGATCGGGAAACATTTGTGGAGCATTAAATTTCAGAATTTAATTGATGCTAAATGCTTTGGGAGTGAGACTGAGGTGAAAAATAAAGAGTGGTTTTAATTTCAAATAATTAAAATTTAAAATTAGTAAAAATTTGATCACAAATCGTATAGGTATTTAAGTTATAGGTAATACAGGAGCAATATTTGATACTTGGGACGAAATTGTATATTACGTAGATATTGATGTAAAAAGGGTTTACTAAATCTAGAGAGGGAGGTGGGGAGGGGAGAGGAGGTAGATCCTGCAAAAGCTAAAACATTACCAGTTGTCAGAAGCTTTTGAGAGAGCAGAAGTAAGAGGAACAGCACTTGCGTTAATTAAAAATTATTTAGAGAATCGTAAACAGGTTGTAAAATTAACGAACAAATAAGTAATGAAGAAAATTTAGTTATAGGTGTGCTACAAGTAACTGTATTAGGTCCTCTATTCTTTTTGCTTTACATTATTGCTTTACTACAACAGCAGACGACACTGTAATTTTATGGTCGTCTGATACTTGGAAAGAACTTAAAGACCTTGTAGAGAGAGATATTCTAAAAATACTATATTGCTTTAATTACCATTTTGACAAAACCTTTCTTATGCCCTTTACAAGTTATGAAAACTACTTAACCGTGTATAATCCAAGTACAGTGTTCTTCAAAACCACATATCTGGGCTACAAGAAAGAATGAAGTAAAGAATCAATCGTGTATGCAACCGAAAGGCATGCAAATTATTAGTATACGGATGGTTCGAAAATTAAAAAAAAACTGGAATAGGAGTATATGTGACTAGAACTTTGGCATCTTCCAGGCGGAAATTTACGACATTGAGAAGTGTACCCAGTTCAACATGTAGATAAATTATCGTAAAAAAAAGATTATCATCATGTCCGATAGACAAGCAGCTATCAAAGCGCTGAGGTAGTACGTAATCAGCTCAAAAATGGTCTGGAGATACCTAGAAAAACTGAATGTGCTAGGCTAAAAAAATACAGTTACTCTTACTTAGGGTACGGGACATAACGGGATAAAGGGTAATGAGATTGCAAATAGTTTCGTAAGGAAAGGGACTCAAACATTTTTTGTGGAATCTGAGCCATTTTGTGGTATCAGCAGTAAAACAATAAAATGAGAGAATAATAAAAGAACCTACAGCTGGAACAATCTCCTGGGGCTAAGATACTTCTGGGTGACTATAATCAAAAAGGATCAAAAGTCTGTTCTGTCTGAGCAAGAACAGGATACGCATTGTAACAGGAATCCTTACTGGGCATTTCCGACTCAAAGGACACCCGAGTAAACTGAGATTACTAGAAGATAATAAGTGCAGATTCTGTAAGGACGACGGGACCTCCATTTATATTCTGACATGTGTAGCACCCCAGAGTCCAAGGGCACCATCTTTAGGAGCATACTAAAACACAGAGGACGATCTACTTAACTTGTAGCCACTCCAAATTCTATATTTCCTTAAGAAGATAGGACTGGACGTGTCGTTATAACTATCGAGACTATCCCTTGCTATATTAGCGATAGAGCGAGGCACAATAGATCTTTTAGGTCACAGTGTATTACCTCATATATAACATACCGACCTCTCCTCTTCCTAACCTCTTTGTTCCGTACTATATCAGTGCGTCTAAATGTCCAATTTACCATAAACAAACAAATTTTAAACGGGATACATTTTTGATTTAATAAAACCTTTTTCATAGTGTGTCTAACAAACGTTGTTCATAAATCACGTAAAATCCCATTTGTCAAAACAGCTAAATGTTTTGAAATAATGCTTGACTTAGATTACTATTGTTATAAAAATAAAAATAAACTTAACATAAATATGTACAAAAATACATTTATTTATCGAAATATACTGATATTACGCCTACAAAAATCAATTAAAAGGATTATAAACTCTTCCACTCCGAGTTCTACAATGTTCACTCTGAAATTTAACAGATTGTTTTGAATGTTTGACACTTCCATCTTCAAGTTTCTTATTTGTCTCCAACCTTTTAATAACTGATCTCAAATGTTTCTTTTTCACATCAGAATTATCTCCTCCAGCATTTAACACAATTTCTTTAGAACTGCTAGTGGTTCTCCTTCGAGTAAGCTTTTTAGGGATTAATTCTGCCTCCTTACTAAATATAACTTCACAGGAATCACTATTTCCAACAGATATATCATTAAACGAGTCCAACCTCGGTAGTCTTTCTCGCTCGTGTGTTCTGGACAAGTTCTCTCTCATGTTATTTCTGGACAAACTTTCTTTGTCATTAGGAAAGCTTACTTGAAAAGTTTCTTTCGGAAGAAGAAGACATGGATTGATGTTCGTTACGGAGTCCGAGAAATGTTTTGCTATTTTAAAGATGGCGTCCGTACAACATTTGCGTTTGCCCCATAAATTTTTTAGAAACCAAGATCGGTTGTGCTTTGATCCACGCCTGAAAAATAGTATTTAGTATAGTTTGCATTAGAATTTTTGTCATTAGAATTGATATAAATAGAGCCATGATACAATCACAACTGTATGTTTTTGCGTATGTAAGCTCTGTCCTTGTCACATGATATGATGTCACGTGGATTACAAATACGACTCATCTGTATAGATAAATAACGAGACGTTTTCGATAATAAAAAACTGTAAGCTTACTTGACTGTTAAAGTTAGTGGTTTTTATGAAATGAAAATAGAAAATGTATAAGGATAAATAATGCACAAATTTTATAAATAATTAGTTCATATATTGCAACTAAAAAAAACATCATCAAATAATAATAATGTATATTTTGAAGTATTCAAGATTCGAGTAAAACCATTGTACAGTAAAGATGCGTACAATGTGTAACGTATCTTGACAATATTTTACAACAAACTTAGATACTTAAAAATGAATAATATATAGGGTGCTTTATTTAAAAAATAAGGTAATGGTACACCCGGTATAATTCTAATTAGCTTATTTTGATAACTTGTTTATTTTATAACACTTTAAACAGGGTGTCTCAAAAAGTTTTATACAAAAAAAATTATCTTAAATTTCACCAAAAATGTTTCCTCATAAAAAGTTTTGCATCACTTGAGAATTCATAATCAAATATTAAATTTTGTAAAATATAGGTGGTATACAAGAAAAATAAAAACAATGGTTTATAATGAAGAGTAAACTACTTTTACAATTCAATATAAAGCAAAATGTTAATTAAAATGTTGATAGGAATTAAAAAAATGTTTTTCTACGATCACTATCCAAAGTAGGCTTTTGCACATTCAAATCTAACTCACATTGATTACTATAAGGTGAAAGAGAGAGGTTCGACACGCCCAAGATAGGGCGCGGCCATTTTGATGCCTTTACCACAGTTTATAGCTAAAGAATCAGTTCGCTCACTCTGCGTCGGCACTTTTGATTTCAATGTTCCAGTTTATACACTGCGCAACTCGGATAATACAATATATGACAACCGCCTATATTCAAACAGCAGTCTTCTGCGCATCCTGAATTTGTATCCCTGGAGTGGATGTTATTTTGGAATATTCAACTGGTCCAAGTGAGCTGTGCGACCATTATCCGTATAGTAAGAGAAAATCAAAGTAGGTGAATTTAACTAGAAAGTTGATGTTTTCCACGAATTGTCATAATTTGACATTATTGGCGCACACATGCGCCAAAGTAACATTGGCACACGCTTGTCTAATTTCATTTGAATTAAATAAAAGAAAGTTAATCGGTATTTTAAAACAAAATGTAGGCTAATCTAAAATATTTTAATTGACTTCCTAATATTTTAAATCATCTAACAGTATTTTCCGTAAATAATTAAATCATAAATGCTTATCGACATATAAGTCCTAAACATTTTTTCTCTACGAAGAGTAGGCTTATGTCAAATAAACTTACAATATTATAACGACAGAAGGTAACCCATTTCTAATAAAATTACATTATTTATTTTATTTTGATGTGACCGTAGAAAAAAACTTGTGTGTAATTCGAGCAGAAAAACCTTTGGCAGTTTCGACAGATTGACACGCTTCACTAAAGCGTCGCGCGGCAACTTTCTGTCTCAACTGCCAACGTGCTACTTTCTGCTCTTAATACACTGCAACGATCATGTAATCGCTTAAGATTTACGACACGAGCCGCAGGCGAGTGTCGTAACTTACCTCAAGCTCGTGTCTTAATAGCCATTACATAAGAGTTTTTTTTTTTTTTTTTTTTAGTTTTACACCCTTCGGATCTCCCGTGCTACACCCTAATCCGTCTATAGCCTGGCGGCACTGCAGCCTGCGGCTTATTGTACCACCATTTGAAGGTCCTACTACTTTCTCATTCAACAATTCACTCCCTGATTCATCGTCATTCATTCCACGTCGTCGGTGGTTAACCGCTAGTCGGATGAGTCCCATAGTGACACGGCCCATGGTGGAACCTCCCAGCGGTCACCCATCCACGACGTGACCGGAGAATCACTGCTTAACTGTTGCGAGTATGTGGATGCACACTAAGCTCGCAGCTAGCCTCTCCGGCTACATAAGAGTTGCATACACCATTTTTTCTACGACCAAGAAACTAGCATTGCTTTATTTTTTTTATTTTTTAATACTTTTTATATAAACAATAATAAATAAAATATGAAAGAAAAATAAGTTTTTCGACTTAAATTTTATTCCTACAAAATAACTACTAACAATAAACATAAACGAATTCATATTAACATTAAACAAGACACATTACATTTTAATCAATTTTGTTTAAATACAAATTTTGAATAGTACAATTATTAAAAAGTACTTGAGGTGTACCATCTTTAGTCACAAACGAATTTGTACTCGTAGATGAAGAGGGCAAATTAATATGAATTTCATTATTTGTATTATCAATTGAATGAAGAATTTGATTAGAAATATTAATTTTACTCTGTATTGAATTGTCTATATAATTCTCGGCAACCGGTGTTGTTTTAAAGTCGTGATGACGCCCCCTGCATCGACTAACAAAGTGGCAGAGCTTCTACGGAAGCAGTGCCCTGTATATAAATTTGGGTTTTGAAGATTTAGATATGTAGCTATTTCTTTACCCAAATTTCCGAATTTATTCATACCGATATTTTGTTGTACACATTTTCCGTTTCGGTAGCAAATAAAAAAAGATTGTGTGGTACAATCTTTCAGCCTTAAATTTATATATTTTTTACAAATATTATAGTATTTTCCTGTTACTGTAAACGTTCTTGGTATTTTGGTTTTCCTGTCAAGAATATTTATTATGAAATTGTCCTTAACATCTTTGACGTTTTGAAATTTTAAATCATGCAGTTCATGTCTTCTGCATGCTCCCATAATTCCAAAAATTAAAGCTACCTGCAAAAAAAAAACAATTTTAATCAAAAAAATAAATGAAAGACAATATTCATCATTTTTGTGCTTGTTTAGTTTTAATTGAATAAATAAAAAAAAAATAAATAAAATTAAAAAAATGCACTGAGCCGGTCTCGAACCCGGCATGTACAGATTAAAAACAATCTTTGTCATCGCTGTTACACACTGAGCTACGCGCCTGCATTGACAAATCATTAACATATAAAGCATATTATATACGTATGTTACTGCTATGCAACATAAGTAATAAATAGTAAAAAATATGTATTTACCTTAGTGATTAGGTATTTTTGGTCTGGTGCTTCATCAATAAATTTTTTAATTTCTTCTGGCAAAAAGGTTTTTGATTTTTTTCCGCTATATCCTTCGGATTTTCTTTTTAAAAATGCTTGCAATATTGGATATTTGCTAATATCAGTTTCATGTTTAATATTGAGTTGGGTTTTTAAAATAGAATAATGTGTCCAGAGAGATGAGGATTTTAATTTAATTGAGAGTTCTTCAAAGTATACTAGCAACACATTTTCAGAAAAGGATGATACTGTTCTTGCTACCTTCCAATCCATAAATTGACTATAAATTTTATCATATACCTTTTTTGATTTAGCTGGTAATAAGCTATCGCTTACATTTTTCGCCTTTTCAGCGATTTCAGGTGGTGTACCTGAAAACTCTTCGTCCTATCTACCTATCTACCTTTTTGGCTAACGCGAAAGATTGAAACTGTCATAAAATACGAATCTCTTAGAAACTGTCAAACATTCTACAGAAAATATTGGGTCTGCCTACTTGGTTATTTAAAAATCTAGATTTCTATTGGTCAATTTTTCAGTTTCATAATGAAAACCAGTATTATAATGAGTATCATTATGAAACTGAAAATTAGCATTTAATTAACAACTTATAGTACAGGAGTAGAAAAAAAGTTATTTTTTTATTCTAGTCTCACCTATTATATTTGAAAATTTCGATTCCCTTCGTGATTCTGCTATAGTCTTTAGAAGCAAACACAGAACAATTTGAAATTTTATAGTAATTATTATCACAATAATATAGATGAAAAACTAACAGAATAATCGTAAATACACACATACACACTTGAATTTGAACTCTATAAAAACTTCAAAAAGTAAACAACACACAAAATACTTTAGACTCTTAAAATATTTTAAAAATAAACAGTACACCAGCAAAATATTTTTAACTCTTCTTTAAAGTATACAAAAATATATTTCTATCATTGTTTCCTTTATCACACTTTAATTTAAACTCTTTAAAACATCCAAAACGATCCACACACAGAACACTTTAAAACCAAACAATACTTTTAACTATTCTTTAAAATCTCCAAAAATAAACCATATTAACAAATAATCCTTATTTAAACGAGAATAAAATTCTGTTTGCTGTCTGCCACGCTACGTCATTCGCAGAAAGTGTGAAATTCGGTCGAAATAGTAGCACACCGGTTGTGTATCGTGAATTAGAACTTAATGTCAGGCTTTTAATTCTATTAATTCTTTTTTAAATATCGTGACTTCTTAAAGAGAAAATATGATTTAATATAATGCCAAACTCGTAATAATTTCTACAATGTAGTCGTTTTCACACCAGAGATTTCAATTAGGGCTACTCCAAATAGTAACAGGTCTTTGGTAAATATTAACCCTGACATTTAAATACTTACAATGATATATTTTTGGATCCCGAGCAATGTCTTTGGCCTTGTCCTATACTAACCAATGTGCCTCTTCTTAACTGGCTATATAAATAAATTAAGGCTCCAGAAACCATAAACATTGTTGTAATATTTGCGACGTTACTTACAGGTGCCGGTGTGGGCTAAAAAATAATTTTAAAGTAAATTTAAACAGGTAAAAAACTGCAAATAGTTACTCACTATACGACCCGATAAAGCATCGAAACATCTTCTTATAACTACTGTACAAAGTGCCAATGATATGCTTCCTGGAAACATGTTTCTCTGATTTGGTTAAAATATTAATATATTCTTCTTATCACTAGTACATTTGAATTTAAATTTTGAATAAAAATAACCATTTTATTTCCCGATTTGACAGTTAGAATGTCAATCTGTCGATTCTTTTGAAGTTTATTATGGATCAGAGGTGTTAAGAGTAAGTCCTAGGTCCAAAGGGTGAATTAGAGGGTTGCACATATCAGAGGACTAAGACATGATTTACTCAACATCTGGCCCAGAGAATACCATCTGGTCACCCAAATAAAATGAAGGGCTACAAAATGGGAATTTTGTACAAAATATCTAGTGAAGATATCCTTCAAGGTAGAAAAATATAATAATCAGAGATAAGGGAGATAAAGATTGGAAACGCTCATAATAAGCCAATGCTTAACGATGACCAGCTTTAACGCAGTCAACATTTGACCCACTATGTGGCGCTTTCATCGATATCAAACAAAGTAGCGGGAAATTTAAAAACCTGATAATAAAGGTTGTATAAATATCGACTGCACTCTCATGTTCTTGTATATAAATTTAAACAATGTAATTACGCTAAATTATTTATTAAAAAGAATACTACACTTACAGACTATTATCGATTAATTATTGTAAATCTTTTCTTGACAAATATTTTTTAAGTTTTGATCGTTATTTGTAATAATACATTTCTGTTTTTATTTTCCAAACGAATTTTTTAATTTTTGATCGTTATTTGTAATAATACTACATTTCTTATTTAAAAATTTTGAGTGCAAATTCAATAATGGGAATTTAGATATTTTTCTGTTCTTTCTAACGTTTTGAAGCCATTTTCTTGTTCTAAAACAATAAATAATACATAAATACCTACTTTATGATAAAATTAAAAGTTGGTTCCTATTTGTGTTAATAACATGACCAGATCTTATTTTGGTTAATTAAAGCACGCTATATTGAAGTTGTTAAATTTATTCACGTGGCATGTGTTACTAATGCAATACGTTCTCCGACTTATTGTAATATTACAAAATACAATTATTGTCCTCAAATTTCACACAAAAATAGCCACAACCATTTCACTTAGTCCATGTACAGGATAACACAATCATGAACTCAAAATTTAAAATTTGAGGATTTAAGGATTCTTCGATATACATAAAACTAACTGACATTTACATTTACAAACTGTCCACTGCTGTCCACGTCTACTGCTGTCTGATTATTACCACAGAAGAAAGAACAATACAGAAAAGAAAGTAATGGTCGGAACTTTGAAGTTTAAGGAATAGAAATATTTGACCTTGAGTTCCACTACAGAGATACTCTGAGAAAACGTAATTATTCACAGTACACGCGAACGTAGCTATTCACTGAACCTACACTGTGAAAACTACATTTCTCTTTTACATAATTATGTGTCATATTTTATGAAAATTTGCATGAATGCATTTGAAACTATTCTCGATTTAAGTAAATTATTTTTTGATTTGTAGCACTTTCGACAGAGGTTTCAAAAATAAAAATTATTAAGTTTTAAACAATAGTTTATTTTACCCTGTCATAATGAATTGTTGATATTGTGCCACAAATCTCACTAGTCATTTATGATCCATAAATATAAATCAATTGGGATAATTGTTGAAAAATCATTAGCTAAAGCGCATTTTAGGGATTTTATGAATAAAAAAAAAAGAAAAATATAAAAACGTGTATTTATGCAATTGATAAGTTTACAATCTAGTGCATGTATTTTATTAAAATAGAGTTGTTTGAAAATTAAAATAATTAAAATTGTTTACACAGATTTATAGAGCAAGCCTAATTTATAATACATAGATAAGTAGCTTTATTAAAATAGCTATATCCTAATATACAACAAAAATATAGAAATATTATATAAACGGTACTTATAAAAAATATTAAATAATGAGTAATTATTTTTCTTCTTTTTGCACCAAACAAACGTTTTCTCAACGTTGCTATCTTCAGTCGCAGTCTCTGCTTTCTTGGAGTGTTTGATGATAACACATTACTCGTTTGAATTTGTGCTATTACACAAGGTAGAGAAACAGATGGTTGACTATGTACTTGTTCAATAAATTCTACTTCTGCTGAAGTTGAGGGTAGACACAAGTTGTCTTTGCCTTCTTCGCCATGAACAACAAATTCCTCTAAAAAAGAAAGAGAAACCAAATTTTTATCAGATCAACTGGTGTCAAGAAGGTGCATCATTTGTCAGAATTAAATGTTTGAGTCACACTTTTTAGCCAGATGAAATTTAAAATAATTTTATAAAATATGAATATATTTCTGTGCCTAGGAGGTAAACTGCATTCTAGTCAACTTTTTAGTACAGCGGATTGAATGTTTTTAAATTATTAAATTTTAACTAGATATGCATTTAGACACCCATTTATTGTCACAATAATTTATATTTTTTACTAATCTAACTACTAAAACTACTTTATTTTAATTTGCATAACTTGTTGTATGTCTACATAGTGCCGTTTACCTCCAAGATAGTTCTACAAAATGGAATGTATGGGTTTATATTCTAAGATTATTAGTACTTATCATTTTATTTTTTAAACTACTAAATGTAATGTAAAAAAATGACAAGACGACTAGCAAACTTTTTGTGACATTTAACTATAAATTGTATTTATTTACCTTGCAAAACTGAGACTCTTTTCGTAGGTTCTGAATGGGGAAATACTGTTGGGAATGCATTTGCAAATAATCGTTTTCTTGTTCCTGATTGATAAACGAATTTATCCTTGAAGTGTAGTGCACAAATCGTGTTTATACGATTTTTTAACTCTCTGTAGGATGTACGATTGCATCAGTGAAATCGTACGTAAAAATATGATCTTCACTTTTTTAGTAGATTTATTTAAATATCTGCAACAACTTCAGAACATAAAACAATAAAAATCAAAAACTACTTTCAAAGATTCATAGGCTGTTCGTATTTTTCTGAAGGCAGTCATTTCCGTTCTCACTTATTCTGATTTTGACCTCCGAGCAATTACTACTAGAGGGAATCTTCCCCCCTTCCCCGCGCTAAATTTTGTTAGCAACATCTACTCCCCCGAGGGGGAAAATACCTCTTCTGTAATTGGCTTATTTAATCAGCGTTGCCAAGTTTGACAGCGCCAGTTCTGACACTTTCTGACACATGGTTTTGAAATAAAAATGCATGAATTTATTTACAAATATATAGTATATTACATTACGAGTGTGGAAAATCACTTTTCACACAAGTGATGTACAATATTTTTCCTACGACCACAAAATAATTTCATCAAAAAATGTAAAACCAGATTATTATAATAATTAAAATGTATTTAAAAAAATAATCAACAATAATCGTATTTATTAAATTTTCATAATTTCTAAACAAATAAAAAAAAATAAAAAAAAAAATTAAAAAAAAATTCTGGCACAGCCAGGATTCGATCGCGGTCGTTGGACGGTCTCAAATTGCAAAGTTGATGCTCTAACCAACTGAGCTAACAGGCCTTACGGAAATTGATTGATCTAATCGCTTATGTGTTTAACCAGAATAAAAAGCAAATATATCTTAGTTATTTTAAAATTATTTTAAAAATAATTGTTAAAGATAAATATCTAGGATCTAATTTACAATAATTTAACAATCATATCGATTTTAGTATTAATATGGACATTACATAGATCAAAATAGAAATTATGTGTTTGACATTTTCTGACAGCTACTGCGGAAAGTAGCATATTCTCACTTGGGTGGAAAGTAAATTCTTATTCATACGCGTGTGATATAGGGCACTTTCCATAGGTCTATATAGTGTGATATGTGTCACTTTCCTAAGTGGTCGTAGGAAAAAACCATTTTTATTATAATTATTATAATAATTATAATTTAAATCCGAACATACTTTTCAAACATTTTGTAACCATTACATTATAACTTGTTTGTTATAACTTTTTAACTATAATACAATTTTTAAAATATTAATACAAATCGTATATATTTCAAAATGTTTTATTTCAATAGTGTTTGAAAATGAAACTCCCATCGACAACTTTTCATAAATCACAAGTGCTGCTACTTTACATTAAATGATTAATTACGTAAACTGTCTATAAGAAAGTCATGTTTAGTAAGAATGATCTAAAATAATTAAAAAGGTTATAGAAATCTCATTTCAAAATCCTTTGGTCTTTTGCCGGGATTCGCATCTGGGTGTAGAACATCATATTTCCAAGATGTTATAGAAAAACCAGCGCGGTGTCATTATAATGGATGAAAAAACGGATAAAACTCACTAGTTAGGGATGGAAACTTTTTGATCTTGTATTACTACCTTCATTAACTGTCTATCCGAAAAATATATTTTATTACAAATGTTTTCTTTTATTTTTGGTAATTCACGTGTACTAGTAATCACATAATAAAACAAAAATATGTTATATAGAAATGGGCAATTGACCTATCCCGTTTTTGATGATTTCTATTACTAATGCGCAAATCCTATTTTCTCTTAAGCTGCACATGTTAACTATGTTGGAATGCTTTGATCTTGGTATGTACAGAGCCGGCGAATCAAAGCCAACGCTTTTGTACGGAAACGTTGGCGTTGGCTAGCGTTCGATAGTCGAGTGGTACATCAAAGAGAAGCTTGGTTGTGTCTAGTTTGGTATGATCTCCAATGCGACACTAAAATTCCAGTATGGACGAGTTTCTAAATCCTTTTCATTTCCTTCCAATTCAAACGCATTGGTCAACGTTGGAAATTCGGTCTGTACGCGGCTTTAAAATCATCAAAATTTATTGTTGTTTTGTTTTGTTTCCTACCCGGAGTTCCCATAGCAAGGCTTCACTATGAAGACTAGAGAGAAGAAGGCGAATCGGCAATGGTCAAATTTCAAATTTCCGTCCTTCTTTTTATAAAGTTCGCGAAATTGACTGTAGTTGGCATGTCGAATGACAGCGCAGTCAATTTTTTATATAAGTCAATGTAAAATAAAGTAATTTTTTAAAAAATTGATGAAAAGAATCAAAATAATATGAAAAAAAGTACCGGAGTACAAGTAACATAAGTGACAAAAAACATCAAAGCAAGATTTAGGTCGTTTCAAATTGTAAAACAGGATAAAAATCAAATGTAAAACTAAAGAAAACACAAGAAGAAATCAATTCAAGGTCTTTTTAAAGCTTTTAATGTAAGTAAAATAATGCATTCATGTCTAAATATAATATTTATTGCAGTGGCGGCTCGTGGGGGGGTTCACAGTGACAGAATATAGGTATCAGTACAGATGTATGAAAAAAACTTTCAGTGTTTTAGAAAGTTTATAATATACCTTTCTAAA